GTGGTGCTCGAGGACATGGTTTAGTGGTGGACTTGGCAGTGATAGGTTAACGGTTGGATTTGATGATCTTAAGGGTCTTTTCCAACCCTAATGATTCTATGATTCTAACCCATTGAGTGCTGAGATCCTCTATGTGTCCCAGTGCATGAGCAGCAAGAATGAGGGTGAGCGAGTATGAGAGAGTCCTTGTCAGGAGACCTCCCTTTCCTCGTGAAAAAACCCACATTTGCCTTCAAGAACAATTCAGCATGCCAGAGGAAGCAGAGCCTGCTTGTCTTGGCAAGACCACAGAGATGAACATGTTGTGACAAGCCCATCCCTAGGGTGCAAAAGTCCTAAGAAGGTTCAAACTGGTATCCACTGTCCAGCAGCACGGTATTTTCCCTGGACCTGATGTCCTGCATCCTCGGGACACCCCTGACCTCCTGCATCTCCTTCCCCACCCCACAGACTCAGGTGTGAATGAGGATGGCCTTTTGGCAGCATCTTGACCCCAGGGTCCTGGGCCAACTTGTTGCAGCACAGCAGGGTCCCGGTGAGACTCTGGGACAGGGATCAGGGACTCATTTGACACGTAGGGGACACCAGATCCCGCACGAGCAACCGTGCTAGCAGGGGAAAGGAGTGGGATCCCAGTCCTGGGGTGCACACCCATCTCCCCAAACCAACCCAGACCCCTTCCAGCACCCCAACACCCCAAACCTCCCAGAGCTGAATCCTCCAGCACCATCTCTGGGGCAGCCATGCTGCTGAGAGAAGCCCAGCGCCAGCAGCTCTCATGAGAAGCCAGCACTGGGGGAAAGTGGGGAACGTGCTGGCAGCTGAGGTGGGGTGGGGGGCTGCCTGCGTCCCCTCCCCGCCGTCCCCGACCGACCGTATTCTGGCTCTGAGGAGTGCTTGGCTCCACCTTCCGCCCTTCCCTCCCCCGGTGCTAAGCAGCAAAGCCAGCTAGAGACATCCAGCTGGGGTATTAGTAAAAACCAAGCCTCCCTCTAGGAATGGCACTCGCCTGAGAGCCTCCCCGCGCCGCGCGCCCCGACGCCGCCGGGGCTGGGAGGGAGAACAGGGGGGCTATTGGGATACAAATCACAGCCCTCGCAGGAGCTGCCCAGCACACCGGCCAGCAACGTAAGTTTTCCTACCTGAGCTCACTCGCACGCGCGCACACGTTTGCTCACGCTTTTTCCCCCCTACTTTCTCTTACTTTTATCGATTTCCCCAGTGAGGGTCCGTGTTGCCCTCTGAAACTGCAGGGATAGCAGCCCTTGCTCTGCGTTGGCTCTTTTTCAGCTAAGCCAGAGGCATGCTTTTCTATCACTTCTTTTTTTCTTTTTTGATTTCTTTATTCTTTTTTTTATTTCTGGATTTGGGGATAGAGATGCCTTTATTTTTAGAGTGTTTCTTTCTCCAAGGGGGGAACTGCTGCACGGCAGCAGTGACTTTTAGAGGTGAATGCAGACAGAAGGAGAGAGGAGCGTGTGGGGCAGGCAACCCAAAGCCTTGGCTTGTCTCAAAGTTAAACTTGTTTTGTGTTTGTATCTCTCTCTCTCTATATGAATGTGAATATGTATATGCATACATACACATAGACAGGCATGTGTGTGGGGATGCAATGTATTTTAAGTCTTTGGTTTATGAGCTGTGAGGGGAGGGTGAGGGATGGAGTGTCCTCGCAGAGGCACTTCCCCACAGTTGGGATCAGGGTCTCCGGGTGCAGATTCGGGGCCCGGGCTGGTTCCCTGCCCGGTGGTGCTGCCCGCTCAGCTTCCCTGGTAGCCGGGCTATAAGTCCCTTCTGGTTTATCAATACGGTGCCAGCGCTCCCCCTCCCACACCTCCCCCTGGGCACCGTGCTGGTGTTTCACTGCACGTCTTCAAAAGAAAGGGGCACTTCCCCACACAAGTTTTGTGGCTGTCCCCCCATCCCGCTCCCCGTGGGCAGCTGCGCCCAGGCAGGATGGTCAATGTCTCTCTCCTTTCAGGTTCCCAACCCACCTTATCCCTCTTGCTGCAGGCCACTCCACCCATGTCAGCTCCAGACGATTGCAGATATATGGAGCAATATTGCAATTAATCAGGGGCCCCGACCCATCCCCACCCCCATTGATCACGGGTTTTGCGGTGTGCATGGCAATTGCTTTGCTTGCGCTTTTATCGAGCGGCCCCTGTCTCCTAGTCAGCTCTTCAGAGACCTTGGAGTCCCTTCCAGGTTTGGTGGTTGCTTCTCCTCTTCTCTCTTCACCCCCCCTTTTTCCTTTCTTTCCTTTGTTTTTGTCTTCCTCCCTCCCCTCCCCAGTGTGAAGAAGGACACCAAGAAGGAAGAGAGAGAGGGCTTGAGAGCAACAATGGCTGATGACCAAGACCTTTCGGAGGTGGAGATGAGCCCGGTGGGCTCTGAAGACCACCACTGCCTCTCGCCAGGACCCTCCATGGTGTCGGACAACTCCCCGCACCTCGCCGGTTCTGGGAGCGGGGAGATGGGGAAGGTCAAGAAGGAACAGCAAGACTCGGAGGCAGACGACGACAAGTTCCCAGTGTGCATCCGCGAGGCAGTCAGCCAGGTGCTGAGCGGCTATGACTGGACCCTGGTACCCATGCCTGTCCGGGTCAATGGAAGTAACAAGAGCAAACCCCACGTCAAGCGGCCCATGAACGCCTTCATGGTCTGGGCACAGGCTGCCCGGAGGAAATTGGCTGACCAGTACCCGCACCTCCACAATGCCGAGCTCAGTAAGACCTTGGGGAAGCTCTGGAGGTAAGAGCGGGTGGGCGGAGGGGGAGCGCGAGGGCTGAGGTCTGGAGGTGTCTTGGAGAGGACTGTGTAGTCAGGTGGAAACTTATCAGGATGGAAGGGGTGTCCCTTGAGGGGACTTCCTTCCCTGCGGGGAGCCCCCTCGCAGGAGGCACGGTTGGCAACTGGGGCAAGAGTGGTGATTGGATGTAGTGAAGGCTTCCTCAGCAGAGCTCACCTCCATCCTGGGCAGCAGCCCTTTCCATGTGTTTCCCACTAACTTCCCCTGTTGTTCCCGACCAGGACAATCTCGACCTGGTCCTCTCCTGCCTGACTGCCAGGGGAGATTTTGTTTTCTTGGCTCAGCCTCTCTGTTGGGCCAAGTTGTGCACTAGCAGGAACTGGGCTGAGCCCCATCCAACTTGACTCACTGGTGGCTGCCTCAAGCCTGTTTGAACTTGAGTCTCAATGCCAACAGGGGTTATTTTCTGCACAGTGCCACAGAGCAAGCAGAAAACCAAGTTACGGCCAAGGAGGGAGGTCAGGGAGGGGAGCCAGGTGGTTGGAGCCCCGCACTCATCCTTCCCAGGACGGTCCCAGTTTTGGCAGGCCATGCAGGTGCAGCGAGATGGACAAGAAGAGACCCCAATAGAAAGGGGGGGCTGAGGCTTAGCAGAAAAGAAGAGACTTGCAACAGCCCAGCCTTAGCAGGCTGTCTTGCAACATGCTGGCTCAAACCAGCCCCATCTCCCTTTGCACCCAGAGAGATGCCCTCCCTTCTCGCTGGCACACACATGCTCATCCTTCTGGCCCCACCAGTTTGTTGTGCCCATTTTCATTCTGGCTTTGTGCAGATCCCTGGGTCCTTTACGTACCCTCCCCAACCCTCTCCTCCTTCCTCCAGCAGACCGACAGGCTGCCCCAGTCGATTGCAGCTGGTCCATGGGTGTGCAGAGAGCCATCATGCCCAAGCCAAGCGTGTCAGGCTGGCCGTGCCACTTCTTTCCCATCTGACGGTCTCTGCCGATAACCCCCTCCACTTGCTATAAACACTTTTTGCCACAAGTCCCCAGCACTGTTCCCCCCCTCACCTTGCACCAACCAGTGCAAACCAAGGCTCATGCAAACGGGCCTCTCATTCTCTGTCCTGCCCGGATGGCATTTTGTGGAGGAAGCGCTCAACCTTGGGTGGGCCAAGAGACATTTTTCCAAGCAGAAGCAAAACACACCCCATCCAACAGCTGATGCCCAGGTCTCCTCCTGGCTTCACACCTCCTTGCTTGCAAGGAACTGAGCCCTCAGGCATTAGCTTCTCCCTCTGCTACGTCAGCCCATTTACCCCAACCCGTCAGTGTCCAGTGTAACCCCAGCAAAGGGATTTCTTTGGGAAGTGGAAGGCAGGGCGTGATTGCGGATATCTCATCTGATGCTCTTTCCTGCTTTGTTCCCTGCTGACTTCCTTTCCCTTCTCCACGGCACTTGCTCCCGCCTGGGGCTCTGCTGCCAGCCTTTGGACTGTGAAGCTGTGCTGGAAGGGGTGTGTGTGGAGGGTGAACCCACCTTTTTTGTTCCCAAAGTGTTATTTCAAGGTATCTTTCCTTTATTGCAAAATATTGTCAGATTTTAGAGCAGTGGCCTCCCTCCGGACACTGCAGTTCTCTTGAAAGTATAGCAGAGCAGTGAAACCCTCCATAGGTATTTCATTCAGAGCACAGGGAGACACAGCCCGCAGCCCGTGGCCACATTCATGCACCTGACTGCCTCCCTGCTCCCAGGGCACGGCTCCTACCGCTGGCCGCATGGGACTCGGAGCAGGGGGATGCTGCCACCAACCAAGGTCCCTGCGTGTTTCTTAGGGCACCGTGTGGCCAGGGAGCGTGGGTCAGGCAGAGAAGCTTGCGGGATCGGGCCTGGGATTGTTGCATGCTGCTGGGTTTGCCACCTGGCTGCTTTGCTTGAACACGTCTCCGAGCGTCCCTAGTGCAGGCTGTGGCTCTCTGAGCCATGTCAGCCCCTACGGGGACCGTACAGCAGAGTAAGCTGGGTTTTCGGTGCAGTTGGTGTCTGGCCTGGGTAGGACCACGTGCGTGTGTCCTTCTGTGAGGCTGGGGGGAAATATCAGCCCACAAAACTCCAGGGAAGGTGGCCCAAAGGTTACCAGGAGAGTAGCACCAAGCCTTGCCTTCCGGCCACGGTACGGTTGGGTCTTCCTCCACTGAGGTTCCCACTGCCCTCATCTACGCTGTCCCCAAGGTATAGCTCCTATGTGTCGGTACAACTGCGAGCAGCCGGGTTTTGCTCTGGACGGCTTAGTCTGAAACATGTGACGAGGGTCCCTGCAAAGGGCCCTAGCTGTTCGTGTATCCCCACCCTTACAAGGTGGCCACCCAAACCCTACAGCCAACATTGCTAGTCACTTTAGAAAATGTGGGTGACTTACATTTCCATGTGGGCTGCTCTGAGCTTATACAGGTAAAGGGCACATTAGGCAGAGATAAGCACTGGTGAGTGCGGAGACTGCCTGCAAACCACCATTAAGGCAAGCGTGTCCCCAGAGATCGGTGCTGGGTGGGGACAGCAGAGGCTGGGAAATCTTAAAAGGCAGTTAGCAGATTGAGCGATAACCCTAGTGCCGTCCCATGTGCTCCTCTGCAAAATGGGCTGCAATGGCCCGGGCTTTTTTTTTTTTTTTTTTAAGGCGGGATTTTTTTCCCAGCCTGGGCCCCCCTCTTTTGTCTCCACGG